TATCTATCTATCTATCTATCTATCTATCTATCTATCTATCTATCTATGTTCCTTGGTCTGCTGGCTTTCATTACAAGCAACATGGCTGACATGACCGAGCACCCCCCCTGTGGTCATCTGAGTATTGATTGTGTGGAGTCTCATCAAGGCTTCTGTCTGAGAAGGCCAGAATGGCCACAGACAGGAGTGGTGAAAACACCTAATGGGCTGTGATGAACCGCTAACAAGAATCATTACAAACAGTCAAGTTGAATTTTTCAGCTCTCCTAAAAGCCATTTTCGGACCACCAGCAAATGTGAAACACTGTCTTTACAGATACAGTGAAAATCCCTCTGAGTCATCACTTAGATCACACATTTTGGGGGATTTTAGCACAATTAGAGACAAATCTGTGAACTAATTACTGTCTGTAAAACTCTTCAGCAGATATTTTTCTTGCCAGATTTTTTAAATCTAGCAGTTTTATTCTCAACTACTAATTTGTATCATCAAGTGGTAGATTCAACATTTTCCATGATGTTTTATTTATACTTACTATTTATTTAAATCACAAACTTTTTTGGTTAAAAAACAACAATACAAAAAGTCTCTGGTTTGGTCTGATAAATGGTTCATTCCGCTTTGCTTCTTGCTGCTGGTACAGCAAAAGAAAAAGACAAAAGCAAAACTCAGTGATGAATTAAAGTCTGTCGGCTCATTCAGAGTCTCCTTGACACAATAAAAATGAAAAATATGGGTGGTGAGATTTTCTGCAAATTCAGGCACCAGTGTCACAGCGGCAGAAACAAGAAGCGCTGAGACGGCGTTTTCCATAGCCCGCCTGTACACAGCAGCAGGACGCTGTTAGGGAACGGGTCTCTGACTGGGAATGCTGGCTACACACAACGAATGTAAAGGAAAAAAATCAAAACTCCTTTACTTCAGTTTTATTGTAGTTCAAGTCATCCTTTTTTTTCCTGCAGGAGGACCCATGGAGTTTTGAGTCTTTTATCCCTGCTTTATGAATCCCTGTCACCTGACTTTAACTGCATAGCTGTGCATATGGAGCTGAAGGTGACTGTGCCTCAGGAGTCCAAGAGAGAGGAACACAAAATGCTAATATCATTCATCACCTACACAGCTCTGTTGTTCAACCGTAATGCGCAAAAAAGGGGAACTCACACAGCAGAACACGGAATGTGAGCCTAATGAACAGAAAACAGGAAAAGGGAATAGAATGCATGTTCAAGAACAAAAGGACGGGTTTTCCTGCCTCCAGATCCAAACCTTACTGCGTCCACTTTTTCACAGAAAGGGCCCTCAACTATGATGCTAAAAACAACACATCGGATTTTTCCTGTCTTTAAAAGTGGTTGGGGCTGAGGCAAAATCAGTAACCATGGGGAAGGTAATGTGAGGTCACCTGCAGAGGCCTCTGAGGGCCCGGGTACAAACCAAGGAGAGAAGAGGGCGGAACTGTGTTTGTTGTACCTGATAAATAAAAGATAAGAGCAGGTATCAGAGAAGCAAGGAGAAGTAAATAATAAGATATCAAATAACTATTTTTAGATGACATCCTGGAAAAAAAAAAACTCCAATATCATGACCTTTAGATTGAATATACAGGTCCACGTAAACAAATAGCACTTTGAAAAACCAGTACACATCCCGCTGTGCATAATAATACGATCTGGTCCCTGTGGCAGCTGTGTAAGTTAATTCATCCCTTCATTCATTTGCCTCAACTCACCATATGTGATTGTCCTTGTCATTTGCATACCTAATTACTTTGAATATTTTCGCTCATATCTTACACCTATTTTAGCTTATAAGATTTTGCAGGTGCAAATGTTGGGTTTGAACTAAGAAAAATAAAATAATGAAGAGACACAGGTCTGTGTGTGTGTGTGTGTGTGTGTGTGTATGTGTGCGGTAGGAATGTGGGCAACTGAGACATGAGATGTACCTCAATTGCTCAAAGTTAAAAAATTACTCAGGGCTAACTGATATTTTTCATAGTTTGACCTTAACAGCCCGGACACATTTAATTATTACTGAGATTTTGTGAGGTTTGGCGTTATATTCAAAGTCACAGTTAATGTGCTTAACAAAACTTTTCTCATGTAACTTTAGCAAGATGTACAAGACGTGGTGTGATTATGGGGATGAATTTGCATAATGGTCTTGGCCACAGCTACTGAAATCTGAATAACAGCTGGAGAAATAAACAGAAACTGGTCTGGAAACTGAGAGCGCTATTCATTAAACTGCTGCACACGGATCGTGTCTGATAAATCTGATTGCCTGGACGAAACAAGCCAAAACAAAAAGCACCTCACTCATTTCCAATCATCCAATCAGCATCAAAAACAGATGGAGATTTTGATTTATCACCAGCTGCGGCCAAACAAAGTGAAAGCATCACTCCAACGCAACATTAATATCCAGTTCCCTGTAATCAACTGTACTTAGAAAAAAATTGTACAATGATTACCTTAAAAAAAGAAGTAGAAAATAAAGGAATTGTATCTCGTATTAACAAATGCAATTCCCTATGATTGCATTCATGACCGCATGTACTTGATAATCAACAAATTAATAAATCATAGAAGTTAGACGCTGCTGAGCTGTCGTCGTCAGCAAGCTGCACTCACAAACATTTTCCAATCAGTAGCTGCGTTATGGGTGGTGACTTTTTGCTTTTACCTGTAAGTGTCGGAGCTACAACATCCAACAGGGAAAGAAAAGACTTGCTGGTGTATGAGGGAGTCAAGTAATTCAGTGAGAATGGCAAGCTGTTACTGCACGTTATTTCACAGAGAGTCTCATTTCAGCTTCCAGCTGAAGTGCAGCACTGCTGAATGAACCTGCTCCCCTCTTCTCCTCTGTGTATGTGTGTGTATCACAATCCGTTATATGTCAGCTCATTCAAGCCTTTCTCAGCTGTGAATTAGCATGATAATAACAATCTGAGATGGTCAAAGACATAAAAAGGTTAGTCCTTATGAGAAACTTGTGTTACGAATGGAGCTGAGAGCGCATCAGCTCTCCATTCGACCAGGAAGGTGAAATAGAACACCTCTGTGTGCTATGACAGCAACATATTGAGCACTGGAAACACGAGGCACACTGGTGTCCGGTGGAAGGGTTATAATACCTGCTGAAGTGGCGCAGCTTCAGTAGGAGAACTTGGTCAAAAGTCAGTGGAAACCGAAGAGCAGCTGTTGAGTGGAATCTTAATTTGTTTTGATGATGCTGTAATTGTTTATAAGAAGCAGCTCCATGGGTCTGTGACTTGATGAGCAAGCCTTAAGGCGTCTCCCATCCTCTAGCTGCTCACCTTCCTCCTTTGCACCCCTCTAATTAAGCCTCCTTCTCTGGAAACCTGCCTCCATCTCATCTCGTAATTGTCCTTTCGCTACGCCACACCTCTGAGGGACTGCCATGGCTAAACTGGTTTTATCGCTTTTGGAGCTAAATTGGAATTATATTTAAACATTACAAGACCCATTAGTGTCCATCTGAGTGCCATTTTCTGCATCTATTATGCTCACTTTTCTGATATTCCTGTTTCAGCTTGAAACTAATTTTTTGAATAGTCGTAGGAATACAATTAAGTAAAAATGATGTTTACCGAGAGACCTCTTTAGAATGATGAGAAAACGATTAGCATTAATCATCTAAATTGTACACACTTTTAAAATGTAAAAGAGGATCCAACAAAAGGGATGATACGTTTAGTTCTTCCTTTTGTGGGAAAGCATGATAATATAATGCATATGCCTTTAGTATATCATATGTTCAGATCTTTTTGAGAGGCACTAAGTAACTGGATTCAAAAGCACTGTCCAGAACAGAGGACAATGCACTTTGTACATCTGCCCTCCACCACCAGGAATCTATTGCAGTGCACTCCATTAATTTGCTGCCCAGCACACAGATGTATCAGCAAGCCTCAATCACTGGAACATATCCAGGAGCTATAGCACTTAGCATTGAATGTGAATGGAGAACATAACGGTTCAGATTCAGGTGTGCTGCAGCCTCAGGGTGAATTGATGGTGGATGTTGATAACTCAGTCAAAAAGATCCATTTCTCTGCCAGCAATGCGGCCACAAAAAGAGTTAACCAATCCAGAAATTACTGATCGGGCCTGTCAGCAGTCTGCATATGGAGCAGGTAAGAGAATCCCTCTGGGTTTTAATAGCATGAAGGTGAGGCTGTCAGCAAGTTCCCGCCAGGCAGGCTTCACAGGTGAGGGCAAAGGAAACTGGATGTCCTCTGTGTATTGTATTTTCATCGCTCTAACGTGCAAATATTACTGCCACAGTTTCAGAAGTTTTAATTGTTGTGGTTTTCAACTATCATTAACGCTACATTTATTAAAAGCTCATATTTCCACAACCCAATCAACATGGAAACACATAGTAGCCTTTTTAAAGTCAGTTTTGAGTCAGGGAATTAAGAGCTACATTTGTGTTCAGGATACAATCAGCCACATTTAACAGGAGATTAATGATGGTGAAGATATCAGTGAGAAAGTTGGGTCAGCTGCAATGTGAAATATCCAGATACAGACAGATACACCTATCATATTGCATCAGAGATGAACCAACATTGCACAAGGAGAAAAGAATTGTACAAATCAGCCAAAAGACAAAGTCAGTCTCTGCGAATCCTTCCTCCAAGTCAGAGATTAAAATATGAATAATAGAACGGCCCAAAAAATAAATAATAAAACATAAATGGCTTCAACATTTTGGGAGAAATAAATGGAATAAACAAGAAGAGGGAAAGTAATCAATCAGTTAAAAAATACCAAAGACTCATTCAAACGTATTAATTAGTTTTCAAATAAATGTATTTAAAATCATGTAATCTAGATATAACCTGGATAAATACTGACCACATATCATACATTCATTCTTCATTTAGTCACAATTAGGCACACTATAGGATGCCACAAATGACAAAGACAAATGAACTCAGGCAGGTCATGTTGCACATAATTAATACAGGAACAAAAACAACTTTATTTCCACTCTCTTTGCTGCTAGTGAGAGACAGAGTGAGCCATTTTATTTCCTATTCATTTCCTTTTTAGAATCAATGACATTTGTCAGACACACTTTACCGTCAGTACCCTACAAGTGAGGCCTTAAAGTAAGGGGGCACAATAAAATCATTGCTTGTCATCACCTCAATATATCTGAAATGAGTTACTGGATGAATAGTATCACAGGGACACGGTGAAGCTCCCCATCTGTGATCAGCAATTTAAGCCGAATAATCACAGCCCTCGGCTGCCTTTGTGTTCAAAGCACTTAAACAGGATGTCTTGAAGTCTATTGAATGCTTTGAAAACAATTTCAAGAACAGATGCACAGCTAGAAAAAGTGAACACTGTAATGTTTTTGCAGCCATTTTCTCATAATGTTTTCCTGCATAAATGATGCTCCTTATTTTTCTCCCTCCTTTTTTGTCATGTTCCCTGAATCTCACTCTGCCTGACTTTTTGTGTTTGTGGGTGTTGCCTCTCCGCTCTGCTCCTGGGACCTGCAGCCGGTACACCTGCTCGTCATCAGCGTGCGCACAACCCTCTCCAGTCTTTGTCATTTCATTGTAACACACAAACACACCGGTACCTAGATGATCTCAGTATACTTCTTTAACTGTGTGTTGCAGCCGGACCCAGACTCATTCAACACGCTCTGCTCCATCCAGAATAGTGACACTCCTCTTCTGCTCAGTGGCTCTGAGTCCCCAGTCTCCAATGCTCCACAGTTCGAATCCTTCTGAGACTGTTTTTTTCCATGAAGAGGAAATAAACGGTTTCTCACACTGAAACCGTACAAATGATTAAACTGTTTATATTACCAGTATGAGCTGAGACTGTGACTGCTGCTTGTTATTCTAAGCTTCTTATGCTGTACAGTGACAAACTATTCATAGCAGAAGATGCGTACGTTCGACATACTGCACACAGTCGCTACATGCTCTAAAAGAGGGCTTAGGTGTGATGCTCTCGGGGCAACTAATTAATTAGTCTGATGAAAAACAGGAATTGATAGACACACAAAAAAAGAATATATAAATATTTGCATTTCTTGATGCTGTCAGTGTAAATTTAGGAATAACTTAATAAAAAATATGTTTGAAGTCATCTTGTAGACTGATGCCAAGGAGGAGAATCATTTGACCTCCGTGTGAGATAAGAGTAAACAAAGCTCCACTGAAGTCATTTCCCCGCAGTGCTGCAGAAATAAAGTGACTGAACTCTATTTGTATCCTGTTCTGTAAGATGCTTAAACTCTTAACATACGGCTGACAGAATGAAAAGAGCATTGATTACATTTCTGACATACAATGCGCTTATTTCTCTTAAGGCAGAAATGCATTTTTTTATTCAAAGTCAATGCTCTACAACTTGGCAGAAAGGAAAAGCCAAGTCAGAAAATTAAGCATTTATTCTACAGAAACTCTACATGGCATCACTGGAGAGGAATTGCATAGGAAACAAGAGTTTCAGACAGCAGGGAGATCCTCTGTGTCCTAGAGGTCTTATTCCCACACAATTTCATTCTTATATTTAACAGAATCTGAGAAATGCCTCAGCCCGTGGCTCAGAAACAATGTTACTCAACACCGTAGTGGTACTGGGTAACCTAGCAGAGCAAGCCAACGATTTTAAATTACTTACTGACTGAATAATACACGGGTCTGAAAGGAAAACTCCACACCTGGACTGAAGGTTGCTAATGTATACATGTATTACTCCATGCTAGATCAGGTTTATGCAAATACCTTTTGATTAAAAAAACATAACGGGTAAACTACCTTTTTTTTGTACAAGTAAAATATAATGCAAAAGCAATTTCTTGTCACATCATACTTTGATCATCTTTTTTTTTTGGTAAACTGCCTTCATTTGTTATTTTTTCCCCTCACACATCACCAGTCTACCACAGGACAGGGTTCTAAACCCCAAAGTAGTTTGGTCTTTTCAATTCAGCAGAAGTAAGGAGAAAGAAGCCTGCAGACTCAGAGATAACGCAAGATACTAATCTGGTATCGTACTGTTCCGACGGATAGACAGTCCATCCATCCATTATCTTAACCTGTTCACTCTAGAGAATAATGAGAGACAGAGGACTTCCTGCACAGGCTCTCAGTCATCACTGAGCTAACAACAAACAGTTTAGATTAATCAGAGAGCCTAACATGAACAGAAACCTGGGAGCATCTGTAGTAAACCCATACAAATTTCCATACTAATCAGTAGTTATTGACAAACGGGGATGGCGGGCATCGGGGTGAGCATCAGTTGAGCACTTCGGCATGAAGCTTTTGTCAGGGTAGAACCATGCATGAAACCTTTTTATAGAAATACATTATCTAACATCTTTGCAGTCTGTCAGAAGAAAATCATGAGTCAAAACTTTCCAATTGACAGCCCGTGTTACTGCTTCTGTTATAAAGTTTTTTAGTAAGATTAAAAAAAAAGATAATCAGACATCACTTTTACACAACACATACCTTGAGCAATAGCTATGGACTCGAACTTGTGCAGCTCCCGCAGCAGACAGGTGCGCTCAGACGGGTGCAGGCCGTAAATGAACTCCTTGGCTCCGCGCGGGGAGTTGAGGGGCTCCACGGGCTCCTTCATGGGGTGCGTGCCCAGGTGGCAGCGCTGCAGCAGGGCCGGGGACGCTGCTGCGGGGGCGGGGGGGCTCCGGAGCCCGGCCCCGGCCAGCCTGCTCCCGCATGCGAGGGAGAGAGCAGGCCGCAGAACGCCGCGCAGGCAGGGCAGCATCTCAGGGATGAAGGCGGAGCAAAACGCCGAGAACCTGAAGGAGAACAACGAGAAGAAGAGAGGGCCAGGTCATCCTCACCTCAACCAGCGGGGGGTTGGGGGTGGGGGGTGGGTTGGACTGAATTGCTGTCAGCTCGTTTGAACTGACGGTCGTCATGACGGTGCGAGGGGAGGCTCACAGCCCCCGGGAGCCGTTACACAGCAACATTTTTTACTCGCACACGGCGAAGGTTTCGCCCCCAAATACGAACAAGTATTGACACGTTTAAAAACAAACAAACAAACAAACAACGTAACTGCAACTTGACTTCGAGCACGCACCTCGTCGACGCTCGGCCGTCCCGTCCGGCGGCAGCTGTGGAAATGCGGCGGCCGCACGCGCTGCTTCGCCTTCGCACGCGCCTTCCTCACACGGACAGCTCAAACATGACAGAGCCCCGCGTCCAACATTACATCTCTGCGAGCCCCGGTCCGCTGCGGTGTAACCTTTAGCTGTCAGGATGGAGTGAGGCTGGGGAGGGGGGGAGGGCTTAAGAGGCAGCAGCCTGGAAACATTTGCCAATGGCAGCTCTCCCTTCCGCTCGTGCGTAGCTCTGACGGCGCGCGGACGTCCACTCCGGGCAGAAAACCGTGTTAACGGGTGTGCTAACGCCGCGGTAGGCTACGTCTGTCCTGACGACGGAAACACGCACTTCAGGCTGTGAATTACAGCTGACGTTGTTTTGCATTTGCTTGGGCCCCTACACCACGTTTATTGCTGTGGTATGGGGATAACACATCCCTTCCCCACGATCACGTGACTAACTTTGACTGAAGTGTTCAGTCTCCTATGTGAGAAAGGCTCAAATGCCCGAGTTTTCTAGTGACATACACGATACAAAAGATCTTTAGCTTAGATTGTATTCCAGAAGTTCTCATGTAGTAGCTGCATAAGTGCACATACCACAAAACAGAGGACATGACCAGTGTAAAGGAGTGTGTGTCACCTGGGTGTGCGCCCACTCCTCCCTGTGCCTTTGTCCAGGAGGGCTATTTCAGCCATTCAGCCGGAGTCCACACCCAGTGGAAACTGGCAGAGTGGAATTTGGTCCACGATGCAGAAAGGTCTTCATACATCAGTACTTTATGTAAGACGAATGCAATGTGTTTCATTTTACTCAGACTAAACACTGAATAAGACGAGGAAAGTGTTTGTTCTCTCAGGTTAGAGGCACCTCCAAGAGAAGCCTAACACTTGGTCAGTATTGTTTGCAGTGTGCGGCCTCTGCTGGTCACAGCTGCGCATTCTTCTGTGTAGATCATCCTGACTAGTTTGATATTGGCCTTGCTAATTAATCTGTCTGCACCAGGGATTCATTTAAAAAATCATTTAACGAGTCAGCTCTACAAAATGCTATCGAGTTCTCCATGACACCTTATTAAAAAACTAAAATTAATTGAAAACTAATTCCAGTATTTTCATCAAAACCTAACTTCTGGATCATGTCAGGAGTGATCCATCCTCACTTGTGTCTGTTATTTATACCCTGTGTGTCATAGGAACCAAGTGGATCAGGGCACGACATGTATGGCTGTCCTTTTCATACTTGGGGTAATAGTTTTTGAAAACTATTTTTGGACCATCTTACATGACAGGATACTTTAACAAGAAAAAACATTTGTTATGAAAGACATAACATGTTGAAACAAGTCAATGTGATTCTCAGTTTTAAATGATCCTTGAGAAGGAAACCCTTTCTGAGCTCTTCACCTCAGCCTGGGTTTCTGGCCTGAATGAGAAAAAATATTTGTATTGTGACATAGGCTGTCATCTCTTATATTTGGTGCTTATTTTCTTTAACTTTTATTCCACTTTAGTAGATTAAAGAAATCAGTCCGAAGCTATATGAATAGGTATATCTTTTAATCATATTGCTAAAGCTGTCAGGACACAAAAAATAACAACTTTTACTTCCTGAAGCTAACTGCATCATAGCCTGTACTATACACGGTCTGACAGAGAGGTCAACTCTCTTATGGGGAAAAATGAGCTGCAAACTAAACTAGAAAACAACTTCACAAACTATAAATTTCTTATTTATAGGATATATTGACATTTTGCAATGTATATATTTATGCTCACAATTTAAGTATGGAAATTACAAATCGATAACATAGGTTTAAGATATTTGGACAAAACAGTTTGCATGTTGTTATAAATCCAAACTAATTGGAATTAGTTTGTGGGGGGGGGGGGGTTTGTGATTGGAAACTGAAGTGTGAGCAAATAAAAAAAAGTTTAAAAACTCTAACTCATAATACTGATGCAAGACTAAAGATAAAAATCTAAACTATTTTGAACGGGTAATCTCCGCACCAGTCTGAATGTCTACCAACATGCAACATCTGCAGCAGTGTGAAATCAGACACTCACTGTGGGGAAATAAACAACGCACTGTATTCTGGTATTTCATAAGAGGTATAAAAATAGTGAGGCTGAGAGGATGAGATTTAAACAAAGAAAAAGATATGGAAATAAATTAAAAATGAGCGTTCCTAACCTATGAGAGCACTAAGCTAAAACAGTAAATGATATTTACACTTTCAAAAATGTTGTAGTAGACACAGTCTCACAGTGCTTAAACTGAAATGCAAATCGAACACAGACTACCACTCCGTGACAGTAACTAGCCTATTTAGCTTATAGAATTATGATGCTGCTTGATGAGCCTCAATCATACCACGGTCCAGATTAGGAGGCATAACCATAATGGTTATATAGACATATACCTTAAATTAAACAATGGATTTTGATGAATCTCCCTAGTTTTTATACTAACACTATACAGGATTTGTCACCAATTACAATGAATGAAAAAAATGGCGACAGCTGTAATTATCTAGTTGATTAAAAGGACGTGAGCATACTTGTTGTAAAAAAGAGACTGATTTAGTATCGTGCTTTGGCATGGCGCCTCATCTGCATGTTGACATCTGTTAGGAACGTCACCAGCAATCCAAGAGTCCCAAAGTATTATAATTGCTAATAAATGTCACAAAAGAAGGGGCTTATATAAAGAAGAAAAAACACTGAGAAGTTCTGCAGAGCTCTGCATGTGGACTGCAGAGTAAAAAAAATGATGAGACTTAAACTGATTAAATGCAGAGTAGGAAGCATGTCATTTTGTACTACTGTGAAGTGGGAGACTGAATGATTTGGCACTCTGAGGGAACACATCGGAACTGTGGGAATACAAAAACACACAAACTAATCTGGGCATGACTTTCAGTTCATGTCCCCTCTTAACACATCACACTGTAGTGTTCGAATCACACAGTATGTGGGTGGAACAAGTGCAGCAACACAAAGTCCTCATGCCTCGTCGTAGTGATGGTCTCACTCCGGCTGCTGTAGCTCTGTGGAAATGGTGTGCTGAAGTACGCCCAAAAGAAAGAAGTTCACACAGTTCAGAGGCTGCCAAGCGGCTCTTTGATTCTTTCTGTTTAACGTGCAAATGTAAATGTCACAGCATAAATGAAGATGTCTACATTTCAGTGCTTTGGCTGAAATCCTCCATTTGAGGGCCTGGTGTACAATGGTAGGGCTTCTCTTAGTGCTCATAATAGTTTGGCCGAAAGCTTTGTCAATACAAGAACCCGAGTTACTACAAGGGGCCTCTCATCTACTAAAGGACGAACAATAGTAGCACTAAATTTCAAGATATGAGCCCGAACTGTACAATTTTCCTGTCTTTTTTGGGTGAAAAATTGTAGATTATGTACAACAGACTTCAGCTATGAGCATAAAGAACCTTTTCTTTTTACACGCTGCACTCCTATGAGCTACGTGTCCTAAAGCTTTTGACCTAATTCACAAACACTTTGCAGAAGGTGCCCCAAATCTATGAAAGTAGGCCACATGCTTCTTGTATCTTCAGCCCGTCTGAGCTGAGTGATGATGTCATCATGCGATGCGTGGTGCAGAGCGATCATTAGTGAGGGTCCTCTTCAGCTTGACCCCCTTGCGGATGGCCATGAGCATGTTTCCTTCCTCTGGCTCCCCGGGCTCATCTCTCCTTGCCAGGTGCTGCGTGAGCTGGTGGGGAAGGGGTACGGTGGGGGGGTTGGTGGAGGCCTGGCCACTCCAGGACACCACAGGCAAGGAACCAGCATCCTCTGCTCCTCCAAATGATGGAGAATCTGGACTGTCCTCTGCTCTTCCCATCTCGTCTGCACTCCTGCTCCCATTAACTATTCCCGGAACATCAGGCACCGTAGGGATTTTTACTGGCACCATGGGAGTGCGGATAGGAATGGGGCCTGTACCTACAGAACCTGAGCGGCGGGCAGAGGGCTTAGAGGAGGGGGTCCGTCGGATTGTGGCAACTCCAGGGGTGACGATGTTTGGACCGTGGCCTTAAAAAATGAGAAATTATGCCAAGAATTATGCCAAAATATATACAAGGTTTGGAATATCAAGTATACTGTAAAAATGCTTTTTTACTGACTTACATTACATTAGTAAAACACTGATGGTGACAGAGAAAAAAACAGAATTGCTACTACTCAATTGGGAACTTGATTAAATCAAATGTGGAGCCCTTTCTTAACATAAAACTTAAATCCAACAATCCCAAAGACTTAACAACATTTCTTTCTGTGTGCATTTGTGATCAGTGCTGTCTGTACCTGTAGGGGTCGGAGGATATGGCCCAGCATGAGAAGGCTGATATGTTGCTGTGTGGATTGGTGTGGAGGGATAGGGCCCTCCTTGGTAGGTCCCCTGTCCAGGATAGGGCGCCTGTGTGCTGGGGAGGCCAGCTGTGGAGGCGGGCCGTTTGGTCTGGAACATGCGTCTGTAGGACTGGCTGATGTCACTGTTTCTGGGGATGGTGGAGGACTTGTCAAAGTCAGGCTGCTGTTGCTTCTGCTCTGATTCTTGATCTCCAGCCATGGAGAAATAATCAAAGTCTGATACTGTGAGAGGAATATAAAAGGTATTAATGTACAGATATAACATTGTAAATGCTGACTAAACATATTTTAGACAATGTCAGCGTTGTAACCTTGTGATGGTATAGTGTCCTCAGAGCAGCAGGGTGTGTTGGTTTGTGTGCTGTAGCCACTGGAGCACTGGATGGAGTCTCTACTAGACCTCTGCGTGTCCAGGTCTAAACCTCGGGATAGGGCCAGAGCCAATTCATCGTGGGCCTCAATATCACCAGCCTGCTCAAAAAAATAATGGCAATCAACCAAAGGGGGAAAAAATGTCTGTCTGGATACAGTCGGCTGCAATTTTTTAAAGTCATTAAAGTCATTAGATGCAACGCATAAAAGCCATTAAAAGAGAATAATAATGGCAGGAGTCTGTAACCCGTAACTGGTGAAACATTATCCAGCTAGAGGTTCAAAGTGAGGTCACCTGAGTCTCACATTCAACAGATGGCACATTACATGTAAAATTACAAATCCTAGGAAAGACTGCCAAAAAACTGAAACATTATCTCTAAAATCACTTTTGTGGTTTCACTAAATCAGTTTTCAAGTCACCAGATGAGAAAAACAACAAGAAAAAATAAGGCCTGATAATTTCTGCCATGTATTGAACAGACAAATAGGAACAGTAAGAAGGTAACAGGGAAAACATCTTCATGCTGACAAGGCCCAAAAGTCTACCTTCAGAGGTGATGACGCAATCCTGTTTTTCTCCTCTTGTTGAACTGGTGTTGGAAGCACAGCTGCAGATGGTGCTGACATTGAGGCCAGGCCTGACGGGAGACTGGCCCCACTGTTTACACCCCCACTGCTGTCCACCACGGCTGGAGTCTCCTTGTCTTTCTTCTTCCTCAGTGTGTTGACCATAGGCTGGTCATAAGGCCCTGGCTTTGCCCAGTCCTGTATAAAGGATGTTTGTTAATGGTTTTCCACATTTCGCTGATGAACTTTTCACTGGGGTGCATAAATCTCTTCATTTTAGCTTTGAAATAAGAATTTGAACTGTACTGAATCATTTAAGAAAATCTGGAGCTGAAGTGCCTGATACACATGTGAATAAACTAGACAATAAGGATGGACATCAATCATCAAGGACAAACCTTCCAGCTGGGTACTCGTGATGAAGGCACCATGGGGGAACCCAGCGTGCAGCAGTGGGGGTAGTCTGGCAGCAAGGCTGAAGCGGGACGCGACCATGAACGAGTAGGGCACGAGGTGGAGGTGGAGGATGAGGAGAGAGGGAAGCAGGGGAAGGCAGTGCTGGACACCGAGCTCAAACTACCCCCATTGCTATGTAGGTAGGGGGAACTGGCTGGGCTGTAATGGTCGAAACCATTGGACAGCTGCTTGTGAGCGTGTCGATGGGAGGGAGGATGATGGTAAAAGATGCAGAAACACAATGGGATAAATCTTTAAAATGATGCAGTGAAAAAACGAAAAAAAGAACACAAAACTGAGGATGGAATTTAAACACAACAAAAAGATTTGTACTGATAAACACAAAATAACATACAGAAAAAAAAAGCACAGAACTTGGTTGCAAATGCTGAACTGAATGGAGAAGCAGATGCAAAGCGTTCGAGGGTTTGGTGGCTTCCTGGTTCTTTTCTCTCTGCGATTGGATTCAAGCCGATACCAGGTAGACCCTAGTTTGAGGTTTAGTGTGAATAAAATAGCTGATGGCACAGGTGGTGGATGAGTTTTTCACCTTGTCAGTATCGTGCTGAGGTGTAGTAGCAGCAGCGAGAGGAGAGGGGGAGCTGCAGTCATTGTGAAGCTGCCCAGTCTCTAACATCTCAGAGGAGCTGAAACTGGGACAAGGCTGGGACAGAGAGTGCTACAGGCAGTGGAAGCAGGCCAGAGAGACAGAGAGGGTGGGGAGAGGGGGGTTAGGACAGACGGACACATTTAGAGAGAGAGAATTGGAAGAAGCACATGTCAGCAGGGAGAAGTGGGGGGGTAATGGTTTGTTAGACAGCAAAAGCAACTTGTCCACAGTTCTCAGCAGTTGAATACAGCCCACAGACTCAAGAGGCTGTAGGGAGCATGCAATCAGGGGACTGTCACCAGTTCATCAGTATCAGTGATGGTAGGTGTTCACCTTGCAAGCGAGAAACTTACATTTCCAATGTAATGTGAAAGGAAATTTAAAAAAAGCCCTGCTTCTCTTATTAAGAGTAGTTATTTCATTCATGCCAAAGAAGAAATGAACACTTTGCTTGCTGCTCTTTGGGAGAATATTAGCAGCCAGAATCAGCAGCAGAGCATGATCCTGTTAGAGGTTGGGATTAGAAACAGCTGGAAATCAAAGAGCTCTGTAAGAATAGGCAACAAGGCTGATTCAAACTTCAGCTACTGTAACTACATCCAGGATGAGGCAATCTGAAAGCTGATTCCCACCACTGTACAGTAAAATGGGTCAGGGAGCGACTTGCCAAACCACCTTCAGTGCATCATAAAAACTTGGAGCCTAACTACACCAATGTGTTCTGGGCAGGGGAACTTTTGGTTCTGGCGTGCACGTTAACTTTAGCTACTGCAGCTGCTCTCTCTCGAACCCCAAACCCCACACAGATAATCCCCTGGGCTATCACTGACAATTATCCCACAACCTTTATTGGATGGTTCGAGTTAACTAACAGAATGAGACCTGCTGGAGGAGACAAATAATTGATGTATGTAAAACATCCTGGTGACACTGCAACATGTAATTTCACAGTGACTCATTCATGAAAGTATGATCAGGCTTCATAATTTAGCCAAACCACAGTCTGTCACAGTGGTGGACTTTTTATTGGCAGGGTGGGCCTGACCTGTTTTGCTCTAGGACAGAATGGAAGCAGACTAATTTCCTGCCCATTTGTGCTATAATAAAAGCAGTGAAATGACTTCACCAGCATTAGACACATTTCCCACTGCCAGATAACTGTCTGTCCTACGGAATTATAAGTAGCCTGGAAGTTGGATCCAAAAATCAGTGATGAGCGTGGGCATCTTTTTCTCTTACCTTTGCTTCAGAAGCCATTGGTGAGGGTGATTTGGACGATGTGCGTTGTTCTTGTGATGAAGAAATGAAGCCCGAGTCGTGGGAAGAGATGCTAGAGAGCCGAGCTGGGGCCTGCTGGGGTAACGTGGAGCTGCGGTATCGATGGCGGGGGAGTTGGTGGTGGAATAGGTGGTGTGAGGAAGAGGAGGAAGAAGAGGAGGAAGGAGAATGAGAGTGAGAGCCACTGGATCCCCTGGAGTCACTACTGTTAACACTGTTCAGACTACTGTGAAAGGGGAGAGGAGCCAGGGATTGAGGAAAGGCCCAAATGATGAAGTTTGGCAGAAACAGGGAGGGTAAAGAGAATCAAATCCCACCAAAATTATGGATTTAAGAGAAGATAAAAACAGGGGACAGCAGGGAAGGTATGAAATCAGGGGAGTGGGGGATGTGGAGGAGACATGGTGGAAAACAGTTAACACAGCACACCAAGATGAAGCGAGCAGTGCCCGAAGCCAATCCCATCAGAGGCATAAAATCACACCGGCTATATTTACAAGCAGGAAATCACTGATTTCAAGGCTGGGAATTAACATAAAAACACTTTTTTTTAAAGGTGTAAAAACAATAACATAACATCATAACTGACTGTTACTGGCAGTGGTACAGTATATATGTACATATAAAAACCCTCTTGCACGAAATACTCTAAATTAACAATGCATGAATGAAAATTACAACCCCACATCTTACAGATTTCATCATCTACTGCAAAAATACCATTAAATAATGCATCTCTGCACAGGAGGCAGAAACTAACAAGCTGGATTCAAAGTCCGAGTCTTTATTAAGGCATCATAGCAGTAGACGTCCTGTGTTGGTAATGGTGTTCCAGATGAGCATATCAGTTTTTAAAGAATAAAGCCTCCGTGCTTTGCTGTGAGGTATTGGTTCATTTGACTATTCAAAAGAAGTATACTTTCAAAATGATCTGTGAACCACTGCATGCAGCCTTTATTTAAATTTGGCAAGTGATGTTTCTGAAACTGACATCACACCAGCAGCAGTTTGATTTATGGTTTTGATTGTGTGTTTGTTCTTCTGTCTTTTGGGAAGCCAAAGCTTTGCACTTTAACATGAACATGCCCCACTTGAGAATCAAGACAAAAAGCCAACTTGATCTGAAATTCTTCCTATGCTATCCATCACCCATTATCAAATATGTGAAAAGATTCTGAAAGAGCAGATGCAAAGCATTAAACAACCAAAACATTAAATTTGTGCCTTCTAACCAAAGCAGTTTGATTAAAAATCACTGACAGACAAAAAGCTGAGAGGACAGAGTAAAGGAGACACCGTCTGAGCAGTTAAGAATAAGAATATTTCTTTTATGTTACCGGTACAACAAAGGAAGGGCACAGATGAGCATTTCAAAACATAAATGTTCAAAAATGACAGACATGACTGTCATATGGACCACTAGATGGCAGACGTGGTTTGGGCCAAACTATCAAACTGTTCAGACTTATGCTAAAGAATAAGGATAGAAGGACAGATTTGTAACGTTTACAGTACTTGAAAAATCTTAAACAGTCAGGCGCTTCATAAAGGCTCTTTAGTTCAGAGAGACTTGTGACTACTTTAAATGGACTAAGTTAATTTTTAATTTGGCATCTTTTTAAAGTGAACTGCAAAAGGATTTATGGGCACAGAAGATAAATGTATCTGTGGAACAAAGCCTCTCTTTCAGTTACTTGGAGACATGAGCTTTCTGGTTGGCTGAACTAACATACCTGCACATGCTGGACTTTCTGGACATGGTGGTACTGGGGGATGAAGGTGGCGTTTGGTATGACCAGCCGTAGTCCGAGCCTTTCAGGTCCAAGAGGACCTGAAACGGAAAGAAATTTTGAATCAGATGTATTACTGTTACCACAAAAGGTAGTAAACAAAGCTATGAACGAGTAAATAGTCTTCTGTGTAGAAGATTCGTTTTCAAACTGTTTCTTTTAAATGTCTGTCATTTCTCCTCACCTGTTCACTGGCCGGAGGAAGCTTGTGTGGGTCAGATGTTAGTGCCTTGAGGTCCTCAGAAATAGTCTGAAGATGGATAACCTCTCCCAACATGGATATCTCCTCATCCTACCAGAGAAAAGAACATATAGGGCAAACATAGTCATTTATGACATCAGAGTTTCAGTTTTATGACAAAATGTTGTTGATTCCAAATCTTTATTAAAACAGAAGCAGTCAGAGAACAAACTAACTAGATCTAAACAAAAACACTTTTTTCCCCCTCTGAGCTCTACTCACCACAACTGGCCGCAGCATAGCTACAAAGGAGCAAAACCTCTGCCTCTCCTCGATGAGAGCCCTCCTCAAGGCCTGTTTTTCTGTCTCTTCGAGGAGAAGGTATTTGTCACTCACATCCTGCATTGCACTGTCCAACTGGGGCTGGATGTCACCTCGGCCTAGGAAACAAAAACAGAACAAAAAACAAAGATGTACACACAAACATTGCAAGTATGGAAAAAAGAAAACACCTCTGAAATAAAGCTGGCCCCTAAATCAGAAGCGCCCATCCTCGGTCCATAATTACAAATACTAAAAAGAGTACTAATGATGCAGTAACATGCATAAAGTATCAGACGACATGAATATGAACATTTTGTGTCATGTATGAACTCCAGAGCTTTCTAGTGTTGACATGAACAGTAACTTGTTATCTCCTCAGCATAGACACTACCATTTGAATGTCCCACATACTTCAGCATGAAGAGCCGCTCTTCTCATTGAAGGGTTTCCTATCTCATGGTCAGAGGTGACAAAAAGGTCTTAACTAATCTTTTTTTTCTCTGTAAAAGTCAAATCCTGAAGGTTTCTACACAGAGGTCAGAAGATTCACATCTTTTTAAATGGCAAGTACAAGCACTCAAAGACCATCTGGACCTCATGCGAGTAAATGTGTTTTAATATAAATATGTAAATCCAGAGTTGGATATTAACAATCCCAAGGTGATCCACTGTGCGGCTTTGTGCTGTACTATGCAAAGATGTGGGTGGCTGCATGCGTTCGTGTGCGAGTGACTTTAAAAGAAGATATCCTGAGGCCAAATAAAGCCCTCCTGAGTACTTATGGGAGGCAGGAAGGCTGGCGGCTGCCTATGGCTGTATGATACGCAGTGGGCCTCAAACGCATTATCTAACCACTTAAGCTGCAGCTACACACAAACATGTACACACAAATTTAACTTTGATACATTATGGTTGGCCCCCCAGTGAACAACGCTGTGGTCTCTTTGTCTGGTCTCGTGTCTGGGCAAAGATAAACTGGCGTCTTTCGTTGACATTCGTCTTAAGGCCCACATGCAAAGCAGTGGTGAAGAAACAAAGAGCTACCAAGGCAAATCATCCTCACGTCCCCAAATGTAAATCAGCACAGCCCAGTCCTAATGTTATACAAAGTGCATATGGGAGAAACTATATGTCTTCATGTCTCCACCACTCAACTAAAGGCAAATTAAAATGGAAATCACGGATGGTTTGAAGACCACATATAAATATATCAAAACTATGAAAAACAACAAAACATTATTGAATGTTTATTTGTTTGGGACCTCAGAGAGATTCAGTTTCCATATGAAGAGAATCTTTTTACTGAGTTTGGTGGGAAAAGTTCAATGTCAAAACTCACTGGAATGTGGGTTATGCAAGCATTTCGGACAGCTCTGCTACATTACATTATTTAGACCATGAGGAAGAAAATCGACTGTAGAGGTCTGACTGGAAAGCCCAACTGCAACATATATTTTGAGTCTCATATCATTCCAAAGAGTACTTTTGGAGCAGACTGGTATACAATTATATTGTGCGAGAGTTCGTGAAAAGCTGGCATGTTTGACTGAAAGTGATAATGGCTAAGACAGGCCTCACTCATTAAGTCTGGTTTCCACAACAGGACCAAACTCATTAATGATGTCCCTGCAGGCTAGATCTTTTTCCATCTCCTTTCCTTGGAAGTTATTTGTAATCTGGGTTGACATTTGAAATGATGTTAAATCACTAGTTGTAAAAAATTACTATGATTATTGGGATATAATGCAAACCTAATTTACGAAGTGAATGTCTAAAATTGCCGACAACCGAAATGACTGAATGTTGATTTTCTCACTGTTCCATGTAAGGCCAGAGCTCTGCATAGAAGCAAGCTCTGATGTACAGGTAATTTATACAGTATATCTCTTGAGCCCAAGGATTCTGCTGGCCTCAAATAAAAGCAGCCACTCAAGCCCAAAAGCCAAGGAAGCTGTGGTGTCTAAATGGGAGAAGACTGAATTCTGGTTTTCGCCCACTAGTTCGGATCATGCCAATCTGTTTTCTCAACATAACCAAAGTGGTTTTGGAAAGGCACGACAGTAAGCTGAGGTACTTTGTCTGGGGTAGATGGAATCTAAATGTTTTCTTTGTTTTTCGTTTTTGTAGATCCTCTGAGTAGCCGGAGCTGTGTTTTCACTTCAGTTCCTATTTACGGGTGACCAACAAAGAACCAGCTAACGTCCCATTTATTTAATTTACACTGAAAAAGTTTCCACACAAATGTTTAACCATTGATTTTATACAGACTTAAAAAAAAAAGTAAATAGTGCCTCTGTCCTAAATAAACAAGTCTTCCACTAGTTGGAATTTTCACTGAAGAAGCTGTGGTGGCCTTCTGTCTGCACATGCATGTACATGTGCAAACACAAATAAGATTAACTTATTCAGCTTTCACATGGCAAATGATTAAATTAAGTTACAATTACAGAGTGTTTCCATGTGCAGCCTGAGCCTTAGGTCAGGAAAACACAATCACGAGATGGATATCAAAGATCAGATCATGACTAACCAACATTAGTGCTCAGATGCCGTGCACTCACAGAAAGTAAAGTCCTCTTCTTTCATTTAGTTTCCCTGAATCTTTAGGTTATTTTCACACAGATCACTCAGAAATTGTTTGGTTTATATCACTTGCCAACTTACTCCCCTCAACAAAAGTCACCTGGCAAAAAAAACATTCCAAAGAAAAACTGATTCAGATGGCAGCTGGATATTGTTTCAGAGAGTATGGTCAGGCACCTGTCAGAGAATATTTAGGACCGAATCCTTTGACGAAGACATTAGAGCAATAAAGTTAACCTATTTCAGTGTTAACTGTTTGAGCAGCAACACCTGAAACTCTCTGAGCTGAGACTGACAGAGAGGCAGCCTTTTAGATTTAATACAATGCTTGTTAGAATAGTAGTCTGCTGATTAACCTGGGAGTCCACACAGTTCAAATGTAATCGGTTTTCAATAAGGAGTTCTAATGAAGCGTCTTGATGGTGAAAAAGATCATCTAAATTCCATTATCTGTAAATTTAGTCTAATTTATGTTTTAGTTTAAATTTGTAACATCTATGTAAAGCAGTGTAGTCAGATTTGTTCTATTTCTTCGGTGCTTAACAACATGGGGCCTTTAGCCCAGACACTGAATGGCATAGTGAGTTAGATGAAACAAACAAAAGACAGAAAACCTACTGATCAAAGATTAACACACATTACAGCATATATCAATGCTGTGGTAAACACAATCTGTGGCCATGATTATAGAATAAATCTGGACATGCAAAAATCATGATTCACAGATTCAGAGTGTGCCTTAAACTCAACATCTACAGTGGCTAATTCATCATGCAATAAGGATCTCCGCTCCACAAACTGACTTACCCAGATTATCAGCTGCAGTGCAGCATAAGTTGAAGGATGGAATAAAAAACACATGGGGACAGGGAGAGGAGAAAGAGCAATGTCAACTAAAAGACTACAACTAAACTATCATATCACATGAATGTGCAGCTCAATGTGTCTGTCCAGATGCTTGTTTAAGCACAAACAGTTTAATTTAATAATGTCACTGTCAAACATTCAACTGTCATCAAATGTTTTTGCAGATCACACTGTAGAATATTTCCTGCCATCATCTGACACCATAAGTACACTTTGAAATGTAATAATATTTAATAATATTTACTAACTGAGATCAAATGAATGAAGCATGAACATATCTATATATATATATATATATATAAACACACACACACACACACACACTCACACACTTTTCTTCTTAAATTAAGGAATGCAAGTCATGCTCTTATCTAAAACAGAAAATAGCAATATCCCAAAACACTCCACACAGACAGTCATCCAATTTCTTCTTTTGTATATACTATTCTTTTTTTCTACTTAGGTAAATATGTATGCAGATCCAGAGCCAAGAGAACAGCAGGACCAAGTAAGGTAATGTTTAGCTTTGCTAGGTCTGGACGACATAATATGAACAAGCTTCTACACACATGCTGTCCAATAAAAAACTCATTAGTACAATTCCGATTCTTTACACTTTGAAAGAAAAAGACCAAAAGATCTTGCAATTTATTTATTTAACTGAACACTTTTCTGGATATATTAGGAGCTAGTTTTTCTTTTTTTGGCCCAGAATTTTTATTGAATCACATCTGCTGACTTCATTTATCCACTCTTATGTAACCATAACTTAAGAAACTATTGAAGCACTGATAAGCTTCTCTAGTAAAAGCAGCTAGAGTTTTTCTCCTTTAGATTATTTTTTTCCCCTCTGTCCTTTTTTTAAACTATGAATAAGCTACCAGAACTACTGGAGGGAAGCAAGTCCTCTTCTTGAAAAAACATGCTCCACACGAGCTTTGGATGCAAACATTAACTAAATCTGTGAATAATACTTAAACATTCGATGCTCAATACTGTCAAATGATCTCTATGGACACTGGACTTTGCTTTGGTTGAGTTATTCTGCTTTAAGAACATTGTTTTTTACCTTTCTTTGCCTTTTTCTGAAGTTTCAGTGTGTCTGAGGATTTCTTCTTTATCTCCTGTCGAGCTCTTTTGTACTCTGAAATAGAAGTGGTAAAAATGCCGACCAAATGTTTTAAATTACATTTAGTGCTGCTTACAACACACTCAGAGCATTTGAGGCACACAGGAACAAAGGCAATTCTGGGATGAGAAAGATATCAGGCTGTTCAGAAGTGACTGAGCAGCTACTTCACTCCGAATACAACCAGAATGGAGCTGATGAAATAACAAAAGCAGTATCTGAGACTGCTTGGAAGTTTTCTTGGGGCTGCATATGTTTATCCAACCTTTTGCATGGTCTTTGTCCAAAGTGTTGACACCTCTTTTCCACTCTTCCATCTGCTCCTGTAGGGGATTGATCAGACCCTCCAGGAAGCACCTGTGAAAACAGCTGGAAAGTCACTTCTATTTCCAGTTAGGTCCCATCAACTGAACTAGTTGCATTTAATTTTTGATCAAGATGTTTTCAAAATCTTCAGAAGTGAATTTGAGAATAATTATGATGTTTTTGGGTTAAAAGGCTTAATTTATTTGGAATGCATAGAAATGATCAATAATGGAGACATTAAACAATAGAGATTATCCATTTAATCAACAGATCTGGGGGGATTTGTCACCTAAGTAAAAAAAGGAGAAGAGTAAAAACTTTCAGACAACAAAAACAGTCCTGTTTGTTTGCACAGCACATATTCTTGTGTCAATCATTAACTGGTGGAGAGGGAGAGAAAAGAAACTTACAGACTACTAGAAAAAAAAAACGTGTCAACGCCTGATTGCGAGTCACGAGGAAGTAAGAGCCCTGTGCGGTTATGGCTGCCAATAATTACCAGACTGAGGGCATCTTACAACAGTTTTAAAGGTTTAATGGGAGAGGTGGACAGCGGCAGCAGTGCATCAAACTAAAATTAGGCCTCCCCTTCCTGCAAACATCCCCACAAAGTGTTTGTCGATGGGTGGTTGGTGATCACAGACCCTGCCATGGAGATCCAGATGGAATCTCTACCAAAATGCCAACTAAAAAAAAGGGCCCCTTGTCTATGGAGTGTGGGCGGGTGTGTGTCAAGACACACACACACACAAACACACAGACACCATTACATGGTGATGTTGTGTGCATCTTTACAGACACTAGATATGCGCGCCCTGCGGGCGATATGTCTCCTTCCCAGCAGTCCATGACAGTGAGAAAGGTCACCCACACCCAAAACATTTGAAAAAAATAAATTAAATTAAAAAAAATCGATGTGTTGTGATAGAACAAAGCAAATGTGAGGCATTTCATATTTGATTTCAAGGCAAATTAATTGAAAAAAATCATTCTAAATGAGTTTGAATGTGAAATATCTCTTACATTGAGAACTGCTTGAGTTTGGCCTCTATGCTGCGATGTCTCATGCACATCCTGGTCAGAGCAGATCCAATGTCTCGAGTGCCCCCTGAAGACACATTAAACAAACAAATTATGGACAAACTAACAAACAAATGTTGGCTCACAGATATTCATTTTCAGAAGTAAGGCTAAGACATGTCAGGTCTCAAACATTGACCTCAATCAGCAGCCCTCAACAATGAAAAAAAGAACATAAAGCACAGAGAACACAGGCTGAAGTCAAACCATTTAATGAAAAACAGTGGTTGTGGTTTGTGTGGTACAACTAAAAAACAACAGGAAAGGACAGAGACAGAGCCCTCCCCCCTGCCAAAGTACAGTATTCAGGAAATAAATATACTCAACGGTTAACTTGCAATCAGAAAACAAGCACGGACGTGTTGTTGATTGACATAAGTGCCTACTCAGTTTGAGAAACTAGTTTCTCTGTGGGATCACTGCACGACTGCATGTCTGTGTATGTTAATATGCTGCCATAGAGGGCCGACGGGGAACAAAGACGTAGTATTACAATTGTATGGAGTTATTGTGACTTTCCATCCTGGGGATGAAAATCTGAGAGGTAGTGTGTGTGTGTGCCTGTAATGATCTATATTAAGTGTAAAATCCCCTCCAGCAGAGCGAACCATTCTCCTGTCAGCACACTTCTTACCGCATGCAGAGATACACACAGAGCTGTCACTCACCAACGCCCACTGACACTCAAGTTCTCAACACACATTCTTCTTCGACTCAATTAGGAGCAGAAATGAACACACAAAAGAAGCTGTTGATCAGGTCTCTGACACTCACAAAAGAACAAAACACAAACTGCGAAAAACCAACAAAAAAAACAGCAGAAAATCTGTTCACATCATTTGAAAATGAAACTTTAAGAAAATCAAAACTGCAATGTTTTTAAAAATATGAGAGGTTAGCAAATTCTTAGCATCAGGTGTTTTTGTCACAATATAGAATATTGCTCTATAATGTTTTAATGGCTCATCTGTCCTGTTCTTTTCCATGCGTTTCTGACTGGTGAACGGAGAACAAAACACAGGCAAACCCTTCCACAGGGATACCAGTATTTACCGATTCTCGATTTCAAATTCTAACGATTCATTTCCTGTAAGTCCCACAGAGCACCATGTTACTTCAATATTTGTCCTTTATCCATTCATGTATTCAGTCCTCCTTCTCTGAGCATTTGTTTTCACTGGGATGTGTCTATTACAAAGAGCTTTCTGTTAAACTGAACCATCATACTCATTCATTTCCACTCTCACTCATTATATCCATCCATCCATCTGGCCACGTCTTGCTGTGATGGATTGTTATTTTAGAGGGTGTGGCGGATCGATCCCTCAAAGGGGAGTTAGTTTTTCATTAGAAAGTTACTTAGGGGTTCAAGCGTAAGCGGTCATGGGTAGAGTTTGGTTTCGGCTGTTAATTAATTTGCCACAACTCCGCCCGTCTGTTGGGAATCAAAATAAGTCACAAAAACCTCAAAAATAAATCAAGAGAGAGAGCTACAATCTGCTGCTTTTTTGTCCACATGTGCACAGCCAGCTCAGACTTTATGTATTTACCTCCATCTTGACTTCAAGGGACCTAAAGACTATTCTTTTCATAGAAATGTGTATGTTCCAGAAATTGTTCCACATAACCAGGGCTTCACCACAAAACTTTCTAGAGACAAAATCCTAATCAGTTATGTATTTAGATAAATGAAAACTGAATCAGCTCCAACCACATATCATCCTTTCCCCAACTCCAGCCTCCCACTGCTGTAGCTGGCCGGTTTGTCCTCTCCAACTATCAGTTGCCATAGTTACTGTATACAATATGTGGGTGTTCTATCTCTGTCTGCAACCATCCGACGTGGGCTCCAGTTGTTTAACTGCCTGCCTCCTGCTCCAATGCCAAACCTGGGAATATGCGTTTGTTGTTTTTATTCTGATTGGAGATATAGGTGACGATATAAAAGATTTTCGTTAGATCTGTCTTTGTGTAACTTTACCATCCTGTCATGCTGTACCACCACGACATAAATGCCCGTTCTGTACCGACGTGTTTCATGCGCTAGAATACCAGCCAACAATTTGTTGGGTTTGTGTTAACAATTGTTACTCTAAGAATAGAGTGGCTGCTAATAAACAACACATCATCTACTTTGTGTAGCGCTGAGTGACCCCTGAACAGAAATAGCTGTAGTAGTTGTGCCAGTTGTCTCTGACACACGCAGACAAAACACGAGCTTCAACTGCCTGACAACCAGGATATGCCACTTGTGCGAGTTTGTGTGTGTAGTGACATAACTGCCTGTCGGTAGGAATAGCTGCTGTGTGACATGCTTATTCTGAAGGCTTAAATAAACCTTGCACCATCAAGTGAACTGGCTGGAAACACACATATAAACTCAAGAAGAAACTAAAAGGTCAATTATTCATACAGCCAAACCTGAACTGACAAATTTCTATGAGGCATGTGAGCAAGTGTACAACCCAAAAAACTGAAATTATTTTTGCCTTATCCATTTCTCAACTTTAAAAACAATCCATGGAGGGGAAAGCATATAAAAAAACAAATAAGGGATATATATCAAGCACATTATGAGTGTTCACTAATTCCATACAAGATATGCTCTCCTGCATAACTGTCAATTTGTGGCAATACTATGACCCACTATTCCTCCAGTACTCTTAACAAAGCTTTCTTAGAGTTTCAGATATTTAAGCCTGCTGTGCTTGTGTCTAAGGAGTCTATGGGGACAATTGTAGCAGGGGTGATAGTTTCCCTTCGTTATGAATGTGTGTGTGTGTGTGTAGGCAGAGAAGGGGGTGGGAGATAAGATGGCAATTTGATGTCAATTTGCCAAGTATGTCTGTCCTAACCCCCCTCTCAGGCTGCTTGGAATGTCACACTGTGCTGACAAAGAGAGACAGCCTGTGTGTGTGAGTTTTTGCACTTTGTATGAAGCGGCAGTGTTAAAAAAGAACTTCAAAATCATAGTATAATTGTAATTGGTTTGCGTAATGGACAAAAAAACGTACTTGTCCCAAGGGGAAGTCATACTTTTTATTGATTCTGTGAAAACGATACATTTGAAGTATTTTTATTGTCCACTTTCATTATAGCAGGAAGCTTTATGGCTGTACAGTGCAGTGTAACACTGAAATATCTTCCAATAAACTCACTTCTTATAAAGACTTACAAGAAAAATGTTTCGACAGCTTGATGTATCCTTTCTCCTGGAATAATGAAAGATGTTGGGACAATGCTACTTTTTTGTGTGTGTCTGCACTCGCACAACAGGATCATTTTCTGATTACTGGTAAAATGTGAGATAAACAGATGCTGTCTGAAACTACCAATAACAATGACATTGATATGGCATGAGGCAACATAATACTGTTTGATCCCCTGATAAAAGCTTGCCATGTAAATTTTGAAGTAATAGCTCACCTATAAAACAACCAATCTTTATTTAGGACATGACAGTATGTGGTTAGGTTTAGAAGTGATTTTACAGGGGTGAAATTATTTACAAAATTATTTAAATACACAATGTGGTGAGAAATATATTTAATGAAAGAGCCAATTTGTGAATGCCAATGTATGCATTAACATGTAGATTAAAACCAACAGGACAGGAAGGAAAGATGAGGCAAGAGAGATTTGTTGGAAAAAAAAACTAGAAGGAGAAAGTTGTGGGGGGGAGGGTAGTTTTTAGGTGTAGATCAAAGAGTTTGGCGAGCCACAACCAACTCTGTGCATGGGCACCAGATGGTTGCTGTTAACTCTGGGCCAGTGGTTACGCAGATAAGAGACTGAGGACTATATACAGCTGGATACACACACGCACATGCATTCACCCAGATGGACAGAGGTAAGGCGATCTGTTGGCAACTAATTAGAGATCTGGAGAAAACATGAAAGCTCTCTACACTAATGCTGGTCTTTCAGTCCATCCAACCAGATGACATTTTGTCAAAATGTTCATCTGGGTCGATGAACAATCCGTCCCACATATGAATACTCACCAAGAGTTTCACATCATCACAGAATGCTGGTGAAAGTAAAGTGTATTTATAGATCCCTTCAGACTTCTCTTAATCTCATGGCAACTTGTATGGTGATACAATCCAATTTCACCTGTGATGAGCTTTTCGGAGGGATCCTATAGATAACTACATTGAATAAGGGCACACAGTGCGGTCCAACCTGCCCCAATGCCTGGTTTTACCCAGCATTATTTATTGTTAGATGCAGCACCTTGACAGGAAAAAAACAACAATGCTGAAGGTTCTGCAGGTCCAGGCAAAAAGTTCTGCTGCAGCCTCCTCACTCTCAGTTTACATCTACTTAAGGCATACTTTAAAAAAGACCCTGAAGAAACATAGGAGGCTGGAGCAAAACAAAAAGTAATTGTATGTACAAACATAATAAATAAAGGTAATCCTAAAGCACATCAAAATGTACAGCTGTAGCAAAGTCAAGCCCATCAAACTTGTCATGGAACAGATTCACAAGATAAATCCTTTGCCCGCTCCTAACCCCAACTTGGAAAAAGTCCAAAACAAATGAGTCAAAAAGGCGCTTGTCGCCACCCATCACAACAAAGTTAAAAAAACTATGGCAGCAGACAACAAAGAGCAGAGACAAGGAACGCAGGTTAAGGTAAGAGGCATGCATGTGTCCCGACACGTATCCTATGAATAAAGTCACATTCTACTGGTAAGAAGACTCCACGAAGAAGGGCAAAGGATTAGAGATGGAGACAGATTTATGAGCTGTTTGAATCATGCATATAGGATGTCACTTTCTGTTTGACAAAGTATGTTTGATGGGAGTTGCTGCTTGCGTATGTATTGTGTAAGTAGTGTCAGAGTGTGTCTTTAGCACATTTTACCTGAATATTTACAACAGTCTTGTTTTCGACTTTAAAATAGAGAGGCTATAGTAGAAGTCCTGAGGGTGGTTTACAATGTTCTGTATTCTGGACAACATCTCTGCTGTTGTTGACCTATTAGGGTAAACAAAAAAGAAAAAAAAAATCCAAAAGAG